TCGCGCTGCCAGAACGCAGTTCCCAGGCCACACTTTGGATGCAACAAGGAAGTTTTTGGGCTCCTCAGGTCGCCGAGGTGCTGCGACAGGGCGCCGAAGGCGCCGACGACGACGGCCAGGCCGAGGCGCGGGCGCGGAGCTTGCTGATGTTCAGGCCCAGCGAAAGGGAGTTCACATGGCAGAGCTCGGGGGCGCACAGCGTGCGCCGCTCGGGGTTCACCCTGACGCACGCGTCCTACCTGACCTCCACGCTGTCGCAGGGCCAGACGCTGCGCAAGGGCGTCACCATCGACTGCGCGAGAGACGAGGACGCTGGCCGCACGGGCATGTCGGACGAGCAGTGGTGGCTGCACCTCTACGTCATGTTCTCCCGCGCCACGTGCATGCGGAACATGCTGATCCTGCGGCCGCCGCCGCGAGAGTTCCTGGAGTGCGGGCCGCCGGCGTCCCTGCGGAAGGCGCTCCTGGAGTTCGACAAGAGAACGGTTTTGTCCAGGGCGGAGGCGAAGCAGCTCGCGGCAGAGCTGGGCTTCGTGCTGCCTTCCGCCTGAGCGCGGCTGCGCCTCGCTCGAAGCCCGCGGGGTTGTCCCAACGGCTTGGTCTTGCGCGCCAACGGCTCGCGGGGTTGTCCCGACAGCCTGGCCCGCGGGGTTGTCCCAACGGCTGCGCGACGTGACCTGTAGAGAACGCGCCTGTGCTGGCCGTGGCGGCGACGGCGCCGAGGAACATCGACATGCGCGCTCATGCAACAGGAAGGGGAGGAGGTGGCGGGGCGCGGAACAAACAGGGGGGCGAGGATGGGGACAACGTAAGGAGTGGAAGGGGGGCCCGCGCCAAGGCGAGAGGAAATATACGCAGAAGAGACAGCCAGGACGCCTCACCAACCACGAGGACGACGGTGATGGCTTTTTCCAGATTCGCCCAGAGGATTCTTATGTGGGGTTCTTCCGTCGGAGTAATTTTCTCGTCATGCGTTAAAGTATATGCGGAACTGACGGGCGCAGACCCTGAGGCTTACCTGCTGGCTGGCACTCCGTACGGCCCTGAGTTGACAAGCTTGGAGGACGGGCAGGGCGGTCCCCGTGAAGAGGGGGATCACCCGGCCGAGGAGGCGATAGTTGAACGTCTAAAGGATCGACGCTGACGTAGGTCCAAAGGACACGGTACCAGCTGTGGGTGGACAACCCACGGTAGATGATGGGTCTCCGAGCCCTCGACCGCCTGCTCCATAGGGAGTGTTACAACCGATAGCAGCGAAGGTAATGATCAAGATTCTCTATGGTGCGAGGATGGCCAGATACGATCTGCTCCGAGCAACGTGCACATTGGCATCATGTAGACCGAGCAGCAAGATATCGAGCTCTTCCGTCTCATATGTTACATCTAAGCGACTCCACGCTAAAACATGGTGTCTTGGGCGGGAGACGAGCCCGCAGAAGTCTTGCTAAAACAATCTGCGGATGCCGACTTGGCCAAGTGACGTCAGGACGCGTCGGAGCACGAGCGCCAATGCGCAGAAACTGTGGGGAGCTAACACCAGGGCCCTACAGAGCTACAACTCGAAGAGACAGACCGCCACCCGCACAGCACTCGAGGCAGGGATCGCATCGGCAGATGAGGCAGTACGTTGGGAACTTCCGCCTGCATTGCCGCTGTTGGGACGACTGCTGGGAATGTCCCCGAAAGCCGAGTTTATGGAGGACAATCAAGCAGTTGTGAAGGTTTGCGGGGCCAGAGGATCGCAAAAGCTTATGCACTTGCCGCGGACATATCGTATTGATGCGGCAGCAGTTTCGGAACAACTTGCGCGAGGTATCATTGATTTGACTTATTCCACCACGCAAGATTAAACCGCTGACGTCGGTACTAAGAGGTTTGAGCAACCTGACTCCTGGGCCAACGTGATTTATCTGAATCAAGTGGTCGCGCCGACCTTCTGGACAGCGAGTAGCTATGGAAGTTACATGGGATCGCTCTTTGACGGTGCGAACGCTCTACCTATTAAATCCGGGGGGATCCTTAAGCCGAGCCCGGGGTCGAAGTCCTCTCCCGTCACTGGCGGGCCGCTGGAAAGAAGGCAGTGTAGCCCAAGCGCCCGAACAAAGGCAAGCCCAAAGTTGACACCAAGCCTCGCGTTCGGATGGTTGCTGCCGAAGAGTCTGGTTGTGTTGCTATTGAGGACAACCTTGACTATGTCGAGGATCCTGTTGCGGGTGTTGCCTTGGCAACGCCGGCTACAGAACCCTCGAAAATGGGACATCCACTTACCCCAAGAGGCTATCATTGGAGTTCCATTGTGGGCCGGCAGAGGAGCGGCCTAATGCGATAGTCACATTTTGAAAATGGGCCGCCCTCCATCCTTAAAGCTCTCGCAATGTCTTTGCTTCAGGATCATGAGCGGGGAGGAATTCTCAGGCAAAACGCCTGGCCAGCCCTTTCGACCGTCCTAGGAATGCGACAGGGAGGAGTTATCTAGAAGGCGAAGGAATGCATCGGACGG